CAATCGATAGAGCAATAATTAAAACAGTCTACCTGTGATACCATGGTAGAGTAACTTTCGCAAGAACCGATAACGAAAAATTTTTGTTTTTCATATTTTTCGGCATTTATCTGACTCGCTCAGTTTTAATTACTTAAACTATTGTAAAATCGAAATTCACAAAAACACTTTTGTTTATTTTTTGATAGATTTCAATAATTCTGTGCTACTTACTCTATTACACATCAATAACCATGTAACGAGTTAAATAATTTAACAATGGCAAATAACACTACCGTATAAACTTTTTCAACTACCGTTATATTTATTTGTATATTGTATTGTATATCATATTGTAGGTAATAAATATTTTTTAGATGCCTAGGCTATGGCGTCTAAAAGAATCTTTATTACCCAATTATAAATTTTTTTTTCCTTTTTTTTTAACGGTTGCCTGGAAGAGATCGCGTCTAAGCGATTTAGGCCGCCGATTATACTTATTGTTAAATTATAACTATAAATTTTTTGACTGTATGGTATTTGTACAATAAAGAATATTTCATTCATTCGTTCATTCATATCACATTCAGTAATTCATATTGATTGCACGATTCAATTTTAATTCATCGGGAAATAATTTAAGCTTTATAACATTATTTTTTTTTTCATAGGGGTTGGAGTTAAAGTTCTGATTGCAATTTTTGTAATACGTCTGCAGTGAGTCGATTTACAACTTCGGTTTTACGGTTTACATAATAAATTTTAACATGCCATAAAAGACGTGAGATGCGTAAAAGCGTTTCCAAAACGATTTATCGTTCTTTACGCACGTTTCACTGGAATCGAAATTGCAGAATCAGTACAAATATCAATATAATTCTAAGTCGAACCAAAATACAGCTTTTTCATGTGAACAAGCTGTATTTTGGTTCGACTTGATATTGTCTTTCGCATTGTCTTCTATAGGGTAGGTTAGAATGCACTCACGCTGGCGATATGCGGATTGGTGTTAACGGCTGCAAACGTGGCCAGGACTATCAGTTTAACGTTCCTTCCGAAGCACAGAGAATCTCGAGATAATTTTTGGTCACCCATCCGGTGACTAACCCTGACGAAAGTTGCTTAACAACAACGATCGCCGGCCGTGGCGCTTATCCATTACACCACCATATCATACTCATACAGACAGAGAACAGTGTATATATTTATAATTAATTAATTTCTGTTTGAAATAAGACAAGAATCAACAAATTTTTTGGACATAGCATTGGACTCAAAACTGCAACATGCAACAACATGCACATATCTATATTAGCTGGTAGACTCAGCCCAGCAGCATGAGCTATACGAAAAATAAGACAAATTACCGATGTACCGATGTGTGATCCTGTACTTCATTTATTTTCACAACATCGCGTCTTATAAGCTTATTATTGTGAGAAACTGCTGCTGATATTGAGAGTATATTTATTTTACAAAAAAAAAGCATCTCTTAGAGAAAAAAATATTTATTAACAATGAATTTACATTACATGACATATTAATGGATAAAATAAAATATTATGTTTTTGTAACCTTCTATGTAATGAAAAGTTATTTCATATTCTAATGAAGTCACTTTTTAATATAATTTAACATCTCTGTATGAAATAAAACAGGGAAAAAAAGTCCTTATCGAGTTTCTTGACGGTTCTTCTCAGTACAAAGTCTCCCGCAGTAGATTTATGAACCGATGGCATAGCTTTCGACTTTCACGAGTGCTTTTAACAGCATAGGCTAAATACCTAAATGTTGTTTTTTGAGTTTGAGTTTGACATGGAGGAAAAAGCAACCTTAGCTGAGTTTCTTGCAGGTTATTCACGGTACAAGGTCTCCCATAGTAAATTTACGAACCTATAGTACAGAATTTCAACGTTTATAAGTACTTGTAACAGCCTAGACTGAATAATAATTTTGATTTGATTTATGAAAAATCCAATTTCAATTAGTTACGGTGGTTATCTCACTTGTGTTAAATTATGAAATGACTTGATAAGCCAGAATTTAATTCATATTTCACTATGTTAATAACATTTATTTTTAAATTAGTACAATCAAAAATAGCTACACCGATAAAACTATTGCGTGATGACAGATGCAAATAGCCAAGGACCCCGTACCATGACATGTCTATCTACTGTAAAACAATTATGGCTCACCTTGCGTCACGCTTAACTATTTATGTTTCTATTACTTACATGAATTCTGTTTTATGTAGTATATTAAAACTGGCCAAGTGTAACTTGGTTTCGCGCATGTAGTAACAATAATAATAATGTCTCTCAGTGTTAATATTTTTAGAGAAATAAAATAAGTTCTACAATATATGTCTGATGTTAAATTTAAAATAGCTTTAATACAACCTTTTTGAGCAATCAGTAATCTTTTTATATCAGTACCATTATCTCAAAATAATTAAGCCATAACTTAAGAGTGATTCTACGTACGCGAAGTAGGCTGTAATGGCAGTATTTAAACTTGTAACTTTGGTTAGTCTATAGAATACTTAAGCAAACCCATTTATCTTATTGTATATCTTATCTATTTGTTCTTTCTAGATCAATGTTGGTATTACTATTAATCCTTAAAATGTAACACTTGTTGCATCCCGAAGAATTAGTCCATTAAAAACAATGTCAATCGAAAGCGTTTTATAATTATTGAAGTCGTTTTTGATAGATTTGATATTTCTAAGTTATTATTGTATGTTCATTCATTTATTGACTTTAAGGTACAAATTATGTCATCTTTACGTTAATACAAAGGAGAATTTTTGTCAGTTGCTACTATAATAGAAATGTCGTCAGCAAAAAGTATCGTTTAGCGAAAGTATCGTGGTAAATCGTTTATAAATAAAATAAATAATAGTGGGCCCAGAATACTCCCCTGTGAACACCAAGATTATTATTTCTAGCTTCAGATTGGTATTTGACAATCTTTTTGTGGAACACGGTCGAACGTATACGGTCGTCCCGTACCACATGGGAGAAAATATTTATTTTATTGTGGTTTTTAGTATTTATTATTAACAGAAATACATTATGAAAATTTCAACTATCTAACTTTCCCATTTCATGATATATCTATACACCCTGGTGACAGACAGACAAGCAGACAGCGAAGTCTTAGTACAGGATTCCAGTTTCACCCTTTGAATACGGAACCCTAAAAGTGCAGGGAGCTTGCTAACGCAGTGGTTACTGCTCTCGGGCAGCGATGTGAAAGTTAAGCAACTTTTGTGAAGGCTGGTCATAGGATGGGTGACCAAAAATTTATGATCTCGAGCTCCTTGCTTTAGAAGGTAGGTCACTAGGTCTCATGTGTATCTGCAGCCGTTAACACCAACTAATCCGCCCTGAGGCCACGTCGTAGGAAGGTCTGTCAGCAGTGGCGAGTTTATACGCCGACGATGATGTAGATTAAATAAAAACCTATCACCTTTTTGCTGAAAACTTTTTTTATTATTTAATGTCTGTGTGTTATTTCGGATTTTCATAACACAAGTGCTAACTATTTCATTAGGGATTTAACCAAAGCAGGTGATAGCTAGTGGAAATGAGGACGATATAATAATAGTCTACATACAAACAAAAAATCAAATCTTTATAATGTTAGTATACATAGATATAGTTAAAATGACGAGAAAAAAAATCTGGACCAATTGGAAAACTTCTTTCTTCTCTAAAATTGAAATTAACCTCACTGAAATTATTTGTAAGTAACGAGGATTTTCTATGTGTACAACTGAATTTTTTTAATTAACTTTTTTACTATACTGAAAAATAAAAAATCCGGCCAAGAGCGAGTTGGACTTGCATGTTGCTTCGTAACAAATTTCAAGATTCTGAGTTCACCTGTAGGTTTTCACTCCCTTGCAAATTTCGAAAGTTTGCGGCATAAATGGCTGTATCTTTTAATTGTGTTGAGTAAGACGTTTAATTTCTTTTAAAGATCTAAGGAACAGGAGTCCTTGTATAGTAGACTGTAGAGCTTGATGGAGTCTGATATAAATTTCAACTTAATACCTTCACGCGTTCTTGAGAAAAAGGAGCTTGACAGACATCCGATGGACAAAAAAGAGATCCTATAAGGGTTCCGTTTTTTGCTTTCAAAGTACGGAACCCTAAAAAATACTTTGCAATCTTTGGAAGTATTTCATTTTTTTAAATGACCCTAACTTTTGCCCATGGGTCATTTTCATGCTGTAAGCCATCCCTTATAATTGATATGTAAAACTCTAAGTTGTTTTAATTTATAATCAATTTCAGTTTTTGTTTTTAATTCATGACGTTAAAGTCGTGAATTTATCTCTATCCTCTAGAGAGTATCATAATGAATTTGTCTAGACGCTACTTATTATACGGGAAAAAAGAAATTATACGGTAAAAGTTTATAATAAACCTCCTATCGAGTTTACCCTGATCATTCAAATAGTCACTAGGCCTAATATTATAATATAACATTATACATAATACTAAGTATACTTAGTTTCCTCTACTATGTTCAGTGATGCTAATGTTATAAAATAAATCGAAATTTGAAAAAAAACCTTTTAATTTTGGCATCCATCACCGACATCACCAGCCCTTTTACGTCCCCACTGCAGGGGCTCAGGCCTTCCTTATGGATGATTAAGGAGGATGGGCCATGACCCTCCACGCTGACCCAATGCGGATTGGAGGGTATTAACGACTGCAAATGCAGCCGGGATCAACGGCTTAACGTGCCTTCCAAAGCACGAAGTAGCTCGAGATAATAATTTTTTGGTCACCCATCCCGTGCGAAAGTTGCTTAACGACTACGATCGCGGGCCGCGGCGCTTATCCACTATGCCACCGAGCTATTCATTTTGGCATACATTACTTTAATAACTAAAATGTAAGCTAACTTCTGTTTGTATATGTATGGATTTTGTTAGGATAAAAAAACATCAGTTAAGTTTGTGGCATCAAAATTGCCATAATAGCTACGTTTACGACCTATGGAGAAACTGAATTTCGAACCGGGAATTCTTTTCAAAGACGACAAGTAGATCACCTGTTCTGATACCAATTTGCAACCGTGTTCACTTTAAATTTATTTTCGACAAAGGACTCTCTCTATCCACATCCATTATATCGTCCTATCCGTTGTTACATTATCCCAGTTATGGCTAGAGCTGAAGAATCAGTTAACTGAACCCGCGGTCCCATTTGTCGGAATCAAGCCAATACCGTACATTAAAAAAATATTTTAAGTATTAATAATACTAACTACTTTAATTCAATGATATTTTATTTATACTTACAAATGCGTTAAACATTTATTTTTATTATTAATTTATTTATATATAAGCAATAAAAGAAAAATATTAAATATTAATTAATCTGACAACTGGGACCGCGGTTCGAATTTATATGGTTCCAGTCGCTAAATACCTCCTTCATTTATGGTGCAAACTTTAAAAGGATAGCACTTTATTTTGTGAAGTCCCCTATGATGTACTTACGTTTAAAAGTTTCTCAAAGAGCTGAAGTGGAAATGAAAACACAAACATAATTTTTATTAATGGTTTAATTGTTTTTTGTTTTAATGCGTTATATATTTAAATAAGTTTCATAACAAAAGTTTTTTAAGTAGTATGTATAAATAGCCTTACTCTATTAGTACGTCTGTAGGTATCGCATGAATAGGTATGGTGTTTCTCGGTTATTACAATGTGTATCTTATTGAATTTTAAATAAGGTTTATAGTCATAAATTACCTTCATGTATAAAGTTTATAATTCAACTAGAAGTTTGTAATGATTTTTAAAGAAGCCAGCTTGATAGACTAGATAAACAATAGAGATTTTCTTAAAAACAATCCAAATTATTTCGGTAGATACTTATGTTCACTAAATTACATTGCATAATTTGAAAAGTGTAAATAAAATGAACAACATTCCAATAACAATACAGATCAAATAAGTCCGCTCATTTTTCAAATTTAAAATATAGGGACCCAGTTGCAGAAACGTCCACTAAAATTGTCATAATTTAAGTCATTTGTTTAAAGCGAAATTACTGAAAAAAAATTCAAATTCAGGACGACCATTAGTGCTAAAATTCATATTTAAACCTTAACGGGTGTTTGTCCAACTGGGTGTGAGATTGAACAAAAATTCTAAATACTTTATTTTCAAGTCAGCCTCCTCAAAATCATATTTCAATACATATCATCTACGTATAAAAATATCAATTTTAGAATATCTATAAGTAAATAAAAGACTTCAAATTAATTGTCACCAATCAGTTCGTAAATCTAACCAATAAAATAGTTACCGTACTTTGTACTCCTTAGCATCAGAGCAGCTGGTTTATATATTGTGTTTCTATAATATTTCTTGTTATACATATTGTTATTCAAATGTTTTAAGCGCATGATACACGAGTCCAAAAAGTTTCTTTCTAAATACAAACTAATAGGTAAGCTATAACAATACTCAGAATAAAATTAACGACTTTATAGTAATCTATATTGCTCATATTTGTACAAAGTTTTCATCGAGTATTGGTGTTTTAATTCAAAAATATATAAATATACAATTACTCATGACTTTTTAATTTAGTATGTAATCGTAAGTCATAAAAGATATTTTTACAAAGCACTTAACTACTTGAGTACCCATAATTAAAAGGAACTAATAAACAAAACAGTACATTGACCATTTAGATCATCTTATTGCTATTTATGTATAATGAAAAATAAAATGTTAAATTAAGAAAAAGAGGACAAAGCGGTGTTTATATGTACTTAGAAATATATGATAAACAAATGTAACACCAACAATGGCTTTTAACAGTCACAATTCAGTTCACCTTCTAAATCTTTTAAAATAATTTCATCTTAAATCAGTTAAGTACAAAATCGAGAACAGAGGTCTTTATAGTTTTTTTCATCCGTAATGAATAATATATTTACACGACTATATACAAAGCTATCACATATTACATTTTCAATCGTATCACTATTTACATTATTGCGAATTCAAAGTCCCATGTCTTTAAGATACGTTATGACTTTATACATATAATGCGCCAAAGAATATATCTGTAACATTGTCCTTCGCGCAAAACTTATGTTAGACGTACACTATGTGAGGTTTCTCTGGTGTCCTATGAGGTGGAATAGTTTCGTATGCAAACTGTTGGTAAATGTGCTCTTCACTATCCTCTTGGTAATAGGGACTCTTATCCACACTGTTCCATGGAGGATTTAACGAATGAAAATTATTAGTCACAGAGGAACCTATCATTAGATATCGATCACCGTCACGTTTGTTGTCTTGTTCCCTACTTCTCGTCGAATACCCTAATCCATTACTTAACTTGGACACGTCACCGTTTAACATAACACTAGTCATAACTTGCTTCGACTTGTCTCCTTTACACTTTTTCAAAGGTCCCACAAAATATAAAGCTCCTCCGACAACACTAATAATGATACTCACAGTTAGCACCACAACTGCCACAATAACCCAACCATTTGAACACCCAAACTCCGATTCTGGTACTTGAACAAACATAACACCTTTTAAATTTTCTGGCGCAGCACATTTTACATCTTCGTAGTCTATTTTTAATATAGAACTAGCATTACCAGACTTTTTGTGATTGATTTCACTTTCTCTTCCTAGTTTCCATAACCATAATATCGAGCAATTGCAAACAAAAGGATTGCCTGATATTTCTAATTCTTGCAGTCTGTCAATCGGAAAATGAGATGCTTCCAGAGTTTCTAATGCATTGTTTCTCATATACACATGTGTTAACTTTGGGTTGCCGTGGAACAATCTAGGAGGAACCTCTCTTACTTTAACATTTTCATTCATCCATATTTTTTGCAGATTGATGTTATCAACAAAAGCTCTAGAATCGATTTTATCTAGTTCATAAAGTCTGCTCAAATGTAAATGTTTTAAATGGAACAAACTCTGAAACGAGAGCGCTGTTACATTTTTAAAAAAGTTTCCACTGAGGTACAAGTGCGACAAGTTTGAAAGTTTCGAAAGAGCTGAGGTGGGAATCGTTGTAATGTTGTTGTCACTAAGGTCCAGATGTCTCAATGAGGGCAATCGATGAAATCCCAATTGGTCCACGCTCTCAATAATATTACTATTCAAGTCTAAATTCTTCAACTCCTTCAAATATGGTATACCATGCTTGGAGACTTGTTGTATTAAATTTTCTGACAAGTCTAAATATTCTAAATGTACAATAAATAGAAGATTTTCCGAAGGTATGTCTAATATTGAATTGTTTTTGAGGGATAATATCTTTAAAGCAGCCAGCGGTTCAAAAGTATTCGCTTCAAAGCTCACGAGCTTGTTGTTTGATAAATCAAGTCGCTCCAAAATAGACAAACTTTTAAATGTTTGCGCGTGTATATTTAATATTTCGTTATCAGACAGATTCAAATCGAGAAGACCTTTTAAACCAATAAATGTGTCCTTATCCAATCGCTTAAGATAATTATGACTGACGTTGAGATGTGTCATCTCCAAGTTATTCTCGAAGTTTTTACTACCTAAGTCTTGTATTTTGTTGTACGAGATATCGAGAATGGTGAGTTGGGTGTAGAAAGCGAACGTATAGAGCAAATTGTCTATAGAGTTGTGCGTGAGGTTGATATGGGTGGCTTCCGGATTGAGCTGTATAGGGACAATTTCGAGGCCTGCATTGGCGCAAGAGGCAGCTCGCAACGCGTCGTCGCAGGAACATCGCGCCGGGCATAGTGTGCGGGCAGAAGTGCCCCACGCCCATGCTACCACCACCAGGCACCAACGCCACTTCGCTAGGCCGCGTGCGCCCATAACATCTCATGTATACGCCACCAAAAACCTGAAACCAATAAATAGCAATGTATCAATAAAATTCACTCAACAGTATAATAAAGAAAAGTGATAAGACTTATTTTGCAGTATCAATATTATATTTTTTTCAAATATATTACTTCAAAGCTAAATATCCTCGATACGCTTAAAAGAAAATCTCATTGCACGGAATAGATTGAATCTAGTTTATTTTTCCCGTAATTTATTGTTATCATAAAATCCGGATGCTCCCTGAGGGTACACCCTAGACTACGGGAGCGGCAAGTAAAAATACACAACATTATCGCACGACAAAATCTTAATATAATTTCTGGCGAAAACTGCAGATAACAAATGTACCCCTCCACAATTTGTATGAAGGGAATGGAATTGTTTGATCCAAATTAGACTGATAAGAGAAACGTGCCGCGATGGTAGCGAAACGGTAACTACACCATAGAAACTTTTTTATCTTTTATTAGACGTCCGACGCACAAAATGGTTTGAAACTTCTATGTTTGTTGTTAATTTATATACGAGTATCATTAGTCTTCCCTTAAATGCACTAATGACAATTGATTAAACCACCTTCCATTCGTTTGTAGTCAACATTCGGATATTTACACCTTCAGAGAATTCGAGGAAAATGGGAAGTTAGTGGCTACCATTGGTACCGCTAATCCTTCGCGCGAGCGACGCCTCAACAATGCCTTCCAAAATGTTCGTCTATTTAACAAAGGAGCGTTAGGTACTTTAAATTAAATGTTCGGCTTTACAATTCGACGGAATGTATAATGAATAGCACCGTAACATCTGTTAACGAAGGCGAACGATCTCGAAAGTTTTCAAGCGCGGGAATAACTAATTGCGAAGGTTGGAATTCAATTTATGGCTTCTAGTGCGCCTCCCGGGAGATCACGCCATGCCATCACTAATAATGCAAAACAGTGTCACGGAAAGTTTTTGATTCGAAATGCAAATTAAATTAGGAAACAAAGTTGTGAGTGTCGAGCTGGTTCTGCCGCTTTGTCATTTATTGTCGGCTATATTATGCTAACAAACAACAACCATTTGCCCAACAAACAAGTTAGGTATCAGACGGATTTATCAGATTTGACAAGAATAATAAATAACGGGAGATAAATAAGATTTTCTAAGTGTCACGACAGAATCGACGAATAAAATTGACAACTTTGCTGGATTGTTTTTAGTTGTTAATAATGAACGCTCTTTGAAGAAGTTTTGGTTTCGATGAAACTAAGAACATTCCTTGATTTTAAAACGATTGCTTCTGTAACGTAAAATAAACAGGACAATGTAAGAAGAACCGTCTCCCCTTGTAACATGATAGCACCCCGACATGAATGGATTACGCAGACTGCCTGAATTACAGAAACCATACGTATACTCGCTTGATACATATCAGACATCCCCGTATCAAACCGGATTAATTCAACATTCGAAATGCATTGTAGATCACGTGAACCAAAAAGGTAATATATTAATCATTTTTCCACTCGTATTCACAGTGTAATATCACCCAAAATTCTTCTTAACATTGGCGGATTACTTTTAAATTAGAATACGTTACAGTTTTCTATGAGGCAAACATAAAAAATATAGCGAATCACGTTTTAGTAATTGCACTAATAAAAGAGTCAATATGATAAATCAAATAGACTTGTATTCTATAGAAGTTGTTGAAACAACATTTAGAGAACAGTTCCATTTCCACAATGAGACATTAAACCAAAATGATCAACAAAAGTTTCTTCGACAAAAGCTGTTGTGTTAGTGTACAACATTAGTCATAGTAAAGGTGGCCTTTATCGGAAGCGACCTATGAAAAGATGCGAAAGAATCGGGCACGCCTTCCATTTCCGAGCCTAAACTGCTCTGGCCGGCACTCTTTTGTCTTATAATTTCCTGTCCGTCGGAGTGCGCTCCGTCGTGAATTTCGCTTTCGTGAGCTTCGTTAAATTATGCCTTTGTTGTTGCCTATTGAACTTTCCCATTACCGACGTCATCGATTGAAACCGCAAAATTCGTTGGAAAATTCTTGTCGCTTAAATCAACGCACGCTCTCTACCCCTCAAAAATGAACAGCGCTCACTCCCGTTTTCCTTTCATAAAATCCAGTGTGTTTTCAAGTTTTTGTTTTATTTTCGCCCGACGGAAGCTCCTCAAATGGAAATTAAATATTTCCTTATTGAAAAGTTAGAGTGTTATAGCGTTTGGATGCGGGATTTTATAATTGTAACGGACTTTTGTTTTGTTTCCGACTGACTGCCTTAATGTTGTTTCGAATAACAAAAATTTTGACTACGTTATTCATCGTATTATAATGCACCTAATCTCCTTTTTATTGTTTCCTTTTTAATTAAATCAATCAATTCATTTACTTAAAATTTATAGGTATATTTTACTTAATTGCCTACTAATTATATAATTACAACTATCAATAATTTAGTTCACGCAATGGGTCATCCATAAATTTATTATTAAAACTTCTGTGGTTGTTGTATTCAATATCAAAAGGTTTCTTTAGAAGCTTTCATAATTATTAAGTGCGAACGTCATCGATTCCATTTAAATAATTATCAAACTATCCGTTATTTGTTCCTAATTGTAGGCGAGGCAACGAGCCCTACTACGGGTCTTACTAAAGTTATCACGGTGTTAATACAACTTGAGACGTTACTAACACAAAGGACGGTTTACGAGGGGAGCCAAAACAATAAAACCAGTGTAAAAGTCGGCTAACCGCTTCGCGCTCTCCCCAAGAAAATATCTTGGCCCTCTCCACTTTTATGAGTTGCTTAAGTCGTACGCTGCCGTTTTTAAAACAGTACGGCTTAAATCGAAAGTTTTATGTGTGACGTATTGAAATAGAAGATTTAACGCGTATGAGCAACAGGGGGCACGCGATGAAAACCGAGTTGTTAAAATGAGACAACTCTATTCGTTTTTAGAACATTTTTTTTTCGAAAACCACAATTGAATTGCTTTTAAAATTTCGTAGTAAGGCCAGAGTTGAATGTCCGTGTGCATGTACAAAACCCGATTGATAGACGAATGTAAACAATAGTGTGAGTGAGGATTAACACTAAAGAGCTTAATGAGAAAACTTGACCGGCAGTTGAGCGTCGTACTCAGAACGCAACTATTATTATTTATTGTTTAATACTAAACTCCGAACTTTACATTGAATTAAGAGCTTAATGTGGAAAATAAATCAAAGCGCTCTTGATAATCTGGCCGTATCGTTCACAAGCGGAAATTAATGGTGACCAAAATCAGTTTTGATTGGGTTGCCGAGTAATAGAAGGAAATACTGAAATCTCACAACATTCATATTAAAATGACTGAGGCAAAATTTTCTTTATGCAAAAACGAACCTAAATAAACCAATATGAACTGGTATAATTTACTGAATCGTATTATATGAAAAGTTGTTTAGATATATGAATTGGGTTCTCTATTGCCAGGCTTCCAGGTAGTTAGTAGGTAAACGTGCCCTTATTTTTACAATTGCAACTATAATTTTCATTAAAGTTATAATATAATTTCACTAATTCAAAATGCAATATGCAGCCGTATTGCTATGAAAGCAATTGCAATCTCTACCAGGCTACCCTTGGTTAAAAGAAACTATACGGATTGAATAAAGAGACTGTGGGCTGGTATATTAATATTTTTTCTCAAACATCTACGTCTAACACACAACCATCGACATCTACAAATATCTAAATATTATTTAAAGAAATAAATTTCCTTGAATTATATTTTGTAAATAAAACAAAGTTCAATAAGATCGAAAGAATGAAATTTCCGTATTCTAATATCGTATTTTATTCAAAGATAATCAAGATACAAAAAATTAATAAGTCATTTCGAAACATTTAAACATAATACGGGCAAATGACATTTAAATAAAAATCTAATAAATAACAGCATTGAATTCGCCTTAATATGCGAGTGTTATCGTAAATTTCACCAGATACCGCTAATTTCCATAATAATAGATATCTGTTAATGGAATGTTATCAGCGAAGGTTTTATTGTTGCCACTATAAGTCACGAACGATTGATAATGTATTAATTAAAACGAACATTAATTTGGATGAATGTCTATTAGTTATGTGTTCACGCCCTGACGAATTTTAATAACCAGAAAACAACCTGCTAATAGTATCAAGTTATTATAGGTCATACAATTCAGATTAGTCAATGATAATGACGAATGTATAATTAATCGCTGGGTTTTAGCAAAAAATATTAACATACATTTACTTGCGTAGTGTGAAAAAATCATTGCGTTCGAAAAAAGGAAAAGCTTTGATGGATTTGCTAGCACATTTTACAGTGTTTGAATCCTGAATATATGAATGAAAAATATTACTTGAGCTTATAGGTTCTGTGTAATTGATTTGATTTGTTCTTCAAAGACCTAAAATATGATTCCTGTGCTCCAATCAAAGCTATTTCTTAACGAACGTAAAAAGTAAAGAAGTAAAATAACACAAACCTAACTCACTGAAAAACAATTGTGGTAATTGAAATTTAAGTTTTAGTTATACGCTTATGTTGAACACAATTTAAAAACGAAATTGCATTATAAATCAAAGCGCAAAAAGTAGGTTAGGTGTGTCAAGCGTAACACTGTTGTTTATAACCTACTATTACTTTAAATTGTAACATTAATGTTATAACAGCTCCAAAGTCGTTACAGTCACAATGCAACTACATAATATCTGCAAAATAGAGATACAGCAGTTCAAAAGAGAAAAAAGGCCAGCTCGCAGAACATCGCACAATAGCATTTTCTCTTTCACCAACAGAGCGAGTCTTAGTGAATCAATGCGCTCTATGGGGCTTTTATAAACGCAATAATGAGGAGTGCTAAGGCGGCATTGACGCGCGCCCTAACGAGAGGCGTCGATGAATCGCCACGAAGTGAGCACAAAACTTGCTACTTGCTGCGGTAATGGCGTATGCAA